GTGAGCCACTATGCCATGGCGGCCAGCGCGGAGGACACCATCTCTACTCTTTTGTTGTGGGCTGGTGATGCCGCCGAGGTTTCCACTCTGTGTGGCAGGCACTTCAAATGAGAAGCCAGCCTGTCAGCAAGACGCTCCACGAAAGCTTCGGTTCGCCCGACGGTCCTGGGGGATCGAAGAGGCCCTGGGGCACCTCAGGAAACTCAAGGCTCGATGGCAAACGTGCCCCACGATTTCTTACAGCAGTAGTTCGTATCATTTGTGCCTCCTGTATGTTGCAGACCTTGTGTCCGACATCCCCATGGAAGCTCGTGCAGCATGTCCAGAAAAGGCAGGTTCCCGAAGCACGGAGCGCACTTCCTTCCAAAGGCCGCGCCCCGTCTCGGCAACGAGCGCCTCCCAGGCATCGAGAGCTGCTGTGAGGAGAAGGGCGTGGGTATGCCTCCAGGCCGCTCAAACAGGGCTCGACCTAAACGGTGTTTCGGCGATTTCGTGGACGGTTGTCGTTTTGACTTCGTTTTGCAGCGAAGGCCGAACGAAGACAAAACGAGGTAAAGCGAAAACAAGATGACCAGACAAAGACTGTTTGGGTCGAGCCCTGCGCTCAAATTGGGTCCGAGCAGATGGGGGTCGGAGGATCGCTCCGCATCGCCCATGCATCGGCGGTGCGGCTCGATTCGCAGCCGGGTTTTCTCCATGACGGCGTCGCCGATGCATCAGCGATGCGGCGCCGTCCTCCGACCCCACCCGCTCGGACCCCATTCGAACGGCCTCCAATGCCCGACACTGGCCCAGCGCAATCCAGCCGGTCCCCATCCTCACTAGGGGCCAATGCCATGCCGGTGGGGATAATTAGGGATCGGCGAAGCGGTGTTCAGCGGCTTGGCGTGCCAGCGGCAGGAGAAGGCTCGGCTTCCCAAGAGGGTAGAGAGCCGGGCGCGGCTCGAGGCTCCCAGAGGTCCCCGGAGTTCGACCGCGGGCCCACAGGAGGCCGCCCAGGAGATCCCTGGAGGGCCTCCTCCCAGAGGCGATCGGGAGGCAACAGGAAAAGCGTCCAGACGCCATGATCCCTGCCTTCCCCAGGCCGCCGCCGATCTCCTCTTCTGGCCCACCTGGGCGCTCTTCTTCGCCCCTGGCGCACGTTCTACCGCACCCCGGGGGGCCATCAGAAAGGGACCCCGGGGCGAATCGCTGGCCCCAGGGACGGGGTCGCGAGCCGCCGTGTGAAGGTCGCCACGGCCGAGCGTGCGCGCGCTGTCGTTGCCTGCGCCGTGCTCGCCGCAGGCTGGCTCGAGGCAGGACCCGCCGCAGTGTCGTAGGCGCTGGGCGGAGCGCCATCACACCCGCTCGAGCTGCCTGGCTCTGGCAGAGTGCTGAAGCCCTGAGATCCGGTGTAGCGAAGCAAAAAGTACAACATCTTAAAAAGTCACGCCCGGAGCCCCAGACCCCATCTTTCTGCGTCGCTTCTCGAGCCGGCTCGATCTGTGAGGGGCCCCACGTGGCCCGAAATATTGCGCGAAAGCGCCCGGCTCGCAAGAATGGAGCCGCCAGGACCTCAGGGAAGTGCGCGCCGCCAAGGAAGGCCAGGGCTCCTTCGACGCCCCCGAGTCGGCGCCAAGCCTTAAGGCGGGCCTGTCCCTCTACAGGAGGAATATTCCAAAATTATCAAAAATAGTATGGGGACGACCTTCCGACTATTTTTCTGCATGTTTGGAATATTCAATTCGGCATGAACGAAATGGGTACGGAAAGAATGGGTACAATGTCCAACAGCTGTTCCCGTTCAGTTTGAACAGGACTCGCTGTCCGCGCCGCCGCGGCCTGTGTCTATTCGAGACAGAAGGGCGCCTGCCCAACATCGGCCGCCGTTGGTTTGGGACAGCATTTGTTGTTGGGCATTGTACCAAGTTGTTCCGTACCCATTTCGGGCGTCCAAATGAACTTTCGCTCAAAATCCGCCTGTAGAGAGGCGGAAGCGGAGGGGGAGGAGGAGAAGGAGGGGAAGAGGAGGAGGAGGAGGAGGAGGAGGAGGAGGAGGTGGAGGAGGAGGAGGAGGAGGGGAGGAGGAGGAGGAGGAGGAGGAGGAGGAGGGGGAGGAGGAGGAGGAGGAGGAGGGAGGCGTAGGAGGAGGAGGAGGGAGGAGGGAGGAGGAGGAGGAGGGGTAGGAGGAGGTAGGAGGAGGTAGGAGGAGGAGGAGGAGGAGGAGGAGGAGGAGGAGGAGGAGCGGAGGCGGAGGCGGAGGCGGAGGCGGAGGCGGAGGCGGAGGCGGAGGCGGAGGCGGAGGGAGGCGGAGGCGGAGCGGAGGCGGAGGCGGAGGCGGAGGCGGAGGCGGAGGCGGAGGCGGAGGCGGAGGCGGAGGCGGAGGAGGAGGAGGAGGAGGAGGAGGAGGAGGAGGAGGAGGAGGAGGAGGAGGAGGGGGAGGGGGAGGAGGTAGGAGGACATGCCCGACCCAACGCTAAAGCCCTGCCCCCCGCCGGCGGTGCCATGCTGCGGGCCCTTGCCGCCGCCGCGCCCCTGCTCGTGCCGGCCGGCGCCCGGACGTGGCACGTGCGGGCGTCCGACCCGGCCGCCTCGGACAGCGGGCCCGGCAGCGTAGAGGACGGGGGCCGTCGGGGCGCAAGGCAAGATCGGCGGCGAGCGAGGGGGGGAAGGTTCGAGGCTTGAACTTCGAGGCTCGAGGTTTTCGGGCGCTTTCGTTGGTTCTCGGCGGCGTTCCAGCCTCGGGTTGCTTGCCAGCAGCTGCGCCTCGCCGAGGGCGTTCCGGGAGTGCCCGGATCGTCCCGAACGGCCGCCGAAGACCCGAGTTATTAGCCAAAAGCCAAATTCGGCGGCGCGCGAAGGGGGAAGTGAGAAGGAGAAGGCCTTCTCAGAAGGCGGCGGGGCCTTCTAAGAAGTTTTCTGCGTCTTCTGGGGTGGCTTCGAAAGCTTCTCAGAAGGTTGCGGAGCTTCCGAGCCTTCTGAGAAGGCCCGCCCCTCCTCACTTCCCTCCCGGGCGCGCCGCCTACACGAGGCGGGGGCCAATGCAAACGGGAGCTCAGTCGGAGCGCCGGATGTTGCAGGATCCTGCAGCGCCAGGGGTGCAGGGGCGCACTGACCCGGTTTTTTGGGTGCAGGATCCTGCAGGAGTTTGCAGGATCCTGCACGACAGCCTGGCGGGCTCAGGTCTGGGTCGACCCGGGTCAGTAGAGATCCCCGAGACAGGGGCCGACCAGCAGCACAGGGGGGTAAGGCACCGATGCCGCTGCTCGTCCTGCAGAGCTCTCGTCGCCACGGCTGGATGCTCCTCGAGCGTCTCGTCGGGACGTGCCCTGGGCGAGGTCCGGGGAGCAGCGGCACGCGAGGGCGCCCGACCCGGCCGCCTCGGTCGCTCAGCCCGGCAGCGCAGAGGACGAGGGCCGAGCATCCGCAAGGGAGGATAACCCAGGCATGCTCGCGCCGTCAGAGAAATCTCACGACGGAAGGCTTCGGTAGCAAATCATGGGAGCCCTGTGCCCGCTCCTGATTCCGTCTTTAGCGTCGGCTCGCGTCCATTAGCGTCTGGTATAGAATCATTGAGGTAGCGCCGATTTGGCGGCGGCTAGCGTCGATCAGCGTCGATGTAGCGTCCATTAGCCTCGATTTAGCGTCGATTAGCGTCGATTCGCAAGAGCGGACAGGATGGTATGGATGGGAGTCCCCCATGAGGTGCCACCGAAGAAGCTGTTTGGACGTGCCCTGGGCGAGGTCCAGGGAGTTGCGAGCGGCACGTGAGGGCGTCCGCACCGCGCGCAGGGGACGCCGGGCCCGGGAGCGCAGAGGGCCCGGGCCGATTCCACCAATCGGCTACACGAAAGGGTGGCCTTGCGCCAGAGGGACCCTCTGGCGCGGGCACGCTGGGGCCCCGGGATGGCGGAGAGGGGTGCGATTCGGGAGCCTCGAGACGGGGGTCAGTGCAGACGGGGGTCAGCCAGAGCGCCCCGACCTTGCAGGATCCTGCAGGGCCAGGGTCGCATTGACCCGGGTTTGGGTGCAGGATCCTGCAGGATCTTGCAGAATCCTTCGCATTGACCCGGGTTTGGGTGCAGGATCTTGCAGGATCTTGCAGGATTCTGCAAGGCCTGACTGACCCGGGTCTGGATTGACCCGGGTCAGAGGACCCCCGAGCGATGGCAGCGGCTTGCGCGCCCCCCCAGCCGCACACCAGAAGTCTCTCTTGCCCAGGGTCGCTCCTTGCGTGCAGCCGGACCAGGGGCGGCGTTAAGGGCTTGGAGCCCGCCGGGGGTCTGAGGTGGCCCAGCACTGGTCAAGGTTCGAAGGGAAGAGGTTCAGGTTCGAGGGGAAGAGGTTAAGGTTCGAGGGGGGGGAAGAGGTGGCCAAGCTCGACTGGCGACGGGCCGCTAGAATGTCCGAGTTTCCCAGGTTGTGTGCTGAGCCAAGTGTATAACGACATTACGCTCGCCCTACCTTAAAGTGCAGGCCCAGATCTCCGACGATCTGATCTTGTCCGTCCAGTTGTTCGTTCGTCGATTGCGCCCCCTTGGGGCCCAGCATCGGGTCCAGGGACCATCGAAAAGGGATCCCAGATGGAAAACTGCACCGATGGTATCGGAGGATGTTCGGAGCCCCCGCTGGGCCCTATACGAGCAATCGAAAATGGCTCAGGATGAAAAGCCGGTCCAGGGGAAGTGGTCCAGACGTCAGGGGGGTCCGTGTCGAGACAAAGTCACGACGTCGTAGGTCTGGTGATAGAGGCCAACCGCACTCAGGAGCGGCCCCCTCCTTGTCCCGAGTGACTACACCATTTGGTGCGTGCCCACTGGGCGAGCTTATCGATTTCCAGGGGTCGTGTCCAGCTTCGGGGTGCTTTTTTCAGCAGCTGCGCCTCGTGAAGAGCGTTCCTCAGGCACCCGAATCCTCCCGAGCGGCCGCTGGAGCTTCGTTCTGGCCCGAGATCCACCAGGAGCCCAGGCACCCCCAGCGTGGGACCACTGGGGTCCCCCTGATCGCTGCGCGCGATACGACAGCAGCGGCTTGCTCGCCCGGGTTCC